TCCACATGGCAGGTAACAACCTGCTATAATTCCAGTTCCAGGGACTCTGATGCCCTCTTCTGGCCTTTGTAGGTACTGCATAAATATTGTATATGTGCAGCAAAATGCCCATACACATAACATTTTACTAACTATATCTGAAAGGACGCCTAGGACTAAGGATGTATAGCTCAGTGGTAAGGCATTTGTCTTCCATGTCCAAGGTCTTGTATTCAGTCCTTAGCACAGTAAAATAAAAATGAAAAAAAAATGAATACCTACAAATATGAAAGGAAACAACAAAAGAACAGTGGAAAGCAAGGAAAAAGATAACAAAGAGGTATGACATAAAACTAGAAAACCAAGATACAAAGATAACTTAGCCTAATGGGCCATAAAGACATGTAGATGCGTTAACTTCATATAGTGGTCAGAGAGGAAGACCACAATGAAATGCCATTTCCCTCTCTCCCTCTCTTTTCAAGACAGACTTTCACTATTTATCCCTGGCTGGCCTAGAATTCAACAGAGATCTACCTGTGTTTGTCATTGCCTCCTGAATGCTGGAGTTAAAGGAATGTGCTATCGTGCCTGATCCATTTTATGTTTCTAACATGGGAAAAATTAAGACATATAATCTTCATATGACTTAAAGAGAATAGATTTGCATGGTCTCTTGTCTCTTTTCCTACTTGTTTAAGAAATTGTTGTTAATTACTTATTTATGTGTGTTTGCACATTTGTGCACAGAAGCCAGAAGAGGGTTTCAGATCCCTGGAGCTAGGATTATATTATAGGCAGTTTTGACCTTCCTTACATGGGTGTTGGCAATAGAACTAGGATCTTCTGCAAGAGCAATATGTACTCTTAACCACTGAGCCACCTCTCCAGCCCCTGCATGATCTTTTGTACAGTGCTGTTGGGTATACAGATTTGCCAGCCACTCTGAAAACACAGTTTAATAATGCCATATGAATTCAACATCTAGAAGCCAGCACCCTGGAGAATTTCATATATATATATGAAAGAGACACACATAATGACAATATATTATGTAGCTAGTGGGCTAAATCTAACCAAAGCCTGTTTTTTTCTCAACTGTCCACAAGAAAGAATAAGTTTTCAGTCTGTTTAAAGAATACATGATGGCTGGAGTAGTGGTGCATCCCAGCACTCTGCAGGCAGCTGGACCTCTGAGTTTGAGGCCAGCTTGGGGTATATACATAGTGATACCCTGCTCAAAAAGAGAATACATGAAGCGGGGTGGTGGTGGCACACACCTTTAATCCCAGCTCTTGGGATGCAGAGGCAGGCAGATCTTTGTGAGTTCAAGGCCAGCCTGGTCTGCAAAGCGAGTTCCAGGACAGCCATGACTGTTACATAGGGAAACCCTGTCTTGAAAAAAAATTATATATGTGTGTGTGTATGTGTGTATACATGAATACATACACACACACATATATATGAATACATGATAAGCTTTGGAAATTGGAAGTGGCTTGTCATTGGCATTCAGCAGTTCTTATGACTGCCTTCACCCTGTACCTATTTAACCAGAATGGAGCATGTCTGCACTATACACATGTACTGCAAGAAGAAATCAGGATCGCAAAAGAAGAGGAATAAGGAATATAAGCTTATGTGTGGGATGTACTTCTCTGTTGACTCTTTTTTCAGTAACATGTCCCTGCTAGACATGGAACATGGCTTTCTGGCTTTCAAAACTAGCTAGCTGTTAGAATCTCCATCACTATGAAGTTGCCATAAATGCTGCTGACTTGGATGTGGGCTCCATCTGAGCTGTGCTGCACCATGTCTACAGTGTGCTGTATGTGGAGTTGGTCCTGAACAATCCTCTATGCCTGCTGGGACAAACTGCCAAGTGAGCTTTCATTACTGGCTAGATTCTTTTTTCTGCTCTTTGCCCTTCTCTGTTGGAGTCAGCTGAAACACCTACATCACCCCCAGAAGAATCTGTGAATGCCTGAGTCCTTCTTGACTTGTGGCATTATGGTCTCCCGAAATTTTCAACCTGAAGGTCCTCACTTCCTGCCTGTAAGTCATTAGAATGAAACTTACAGGAATCCTTTCCAATTTTATCCCCACCTGACCATGAGAGAAGTGTATATTTTTTTTTAACATGGCAAGGTCTGTGGCCCACAATGCCCCTAACAATTCCTGATCAGTAGGTACATGCCAACAGTATTGTTGAGTTGTAGCAATATAATCCAGAATGTGGCGTCTCAGAATCACCATGTGGCTGCTTAGTGTAAATTAATGGAAATTATTAAAGAAAGCAAAAATATAAGTTCCTCAATCAACAATGAAAAACAAGTGTTTTTGCTTTTTAAAATTTTATTTAGGACTACACAGATGAAATAACATAAAAAGGACAAAAAGGAGTAGTGAACACAGGATTGTGATGGTCCTAGAGTAGAGGTGGTTGACAGTAAGTAGTTCAGTCTGACTCTTCAGCCTCTGAAATTATATTGCCATGCTTAGTCCATAGTAGGGCAACTTTACATATTATATAAAACCAGCAATTCTTCCTGGAAGAATTTCTGTAAAAGTGTTAATATCAGTAAGTAGATAGTTTGGTAGGAATTTTTGGTTAGCTGGTTTGGTCTTTTACAGACATAGTTTTATTTGTCCAAGGGTATTCTGGAACTCTTGTTGCCAAGGATATCCTTGAACTCCTGATCGCCTTGCCCCCATTACCCTCCCAAGTATTGGGATTGCAGGCAAGACCACTATATCTTTCTACAAGGTTTAGTGCATTTTGAAAAGCCACAAGATGGCACTCTTGTTCTTTATGACTGCATTAATTTCTTCAAAGATGTTCAGGAAGGTTGGTAAAGCTGCCATCTTATCTGTTAGTGTGGATGTCACCTTGAAAGGGATTCATTTTATTCAAACCTAAAATTGTAGCAATTCTTACAGAGAACCCTGAGTGCTGCTTAGTTAAAAAGTTCTAAATTTAGTTCAGTAACGTGTGGATATTTTAGGGAAAAAAAAGTTCAGTATTGATTCATAAAACACCAGCTTTTATGTGTATGTGTGTGTTTATGTGTGAGAGAAAGAGTGCTGATACCTGAGTGCCATAACGTCGTGCATGTAGAGGTCAGAGGACAACTTTCCAGAATGAGTTCCAAGGATTAAACCCAAACCGTAAAGTTTGCGTGGCAAGCCTCCTCCCAACCCCAGTGACCTTATTGTGCCAATACAACATCAGCTTCTTTTATAATAAAAATAAAGACAAAAAGCACAATAATCCTGGTTTTTTTCAATTAAATTTTTTTACTTTATGTATATGGGTATTTTGTCTGTATGTATGTCTGTGTACCGTGCATGTACCTGGTGCTCTTGGAGACCAGAAGAGGGTCTCAGATCACTGGAAATAAAGTTACAGACAATTGTAAGCTGCCTGTGTATCCTAGAAATTGAAGCCAGGGAGTTACAGATGGTTAAGAGCATCGTGTAGGTTCTAGGAATTTCACCCAGGTCTTCTAGAAGAGTAGCCAGTGCTCTTAATAACCACCGAGCCATCTCTCCAGTCCCAATAATCCCTCTTTGATTTCAGCAAATCTTAATAGATAGGAAAGAGTCTATAGACAGAGAGCTACCCAAGAAGCAGAAACTCAAGAGACGCTAGCTTTGCCAACTAAGTTACAAACCCAGAACATGAAACTTCTGGACAAGAAATAGATCACTTCATAGGATTATAGCTGGAAACTGAGGAGCCAAAATTGCCTGTGAATCACTGATTTGAAACCAGAAAGATCTGTAATTAGACTCTGAAGTCCGTCAAAGGTCCGCAGGTCAATGTGGAAAGTTTCAAGATTCCAATTCCCACCACACTCTGTACTCTCGGGCAATTCTTGGGATGATATAGTTATATAAAATTTGGATAATAAAGTGGAACTTGAATATTGAAAGGTTGTTCTGAAGATGAAGTATATCTAAATGGCTGAAGAAAGATTAAGGTCATTTTTGTCTACACTAAATTGCTTACCTTCCTTACAACTAGAACAGAGAGACATTGGTAGTGTCACATAGCATGAAACAGTTTGAATAAAATTATATGATGCAGTATTACCCTCCTCCTGCATGCCCTATGATTGGGTGATGCTAGGGATGGAACCCTGCCCCAGTGTTACATGTGGGAGGCAAGTGCTCTTCACTGGGCGAGCTATAACTTAAGCTCTCAGTATTTGGCACACACTGAATGCATTATCTGAGGAGGCCAGAAGAGGGGATCAGATCTCCTGGAATTAGAGTTACAGATTGTACTGGGAACTGAACTCTTTAGATCCTTTGCAAGAGAAGCAGCAAGCACTCTTAACCATGAAGACATCTCTTCAGTCCAATAGTTGGCTTCTTTTGTATTTAAAGGCTCATATTGTAGCCCAGGCTGTGCTGGTACTCATTATGTACCCCTAGGCTGGCCTTGAAATCATGGCGATCCTCCTGCCTCTGCCTCCCTGAGTGCTGGGATTAGACTGGGCTCATGACATCTGAATATTCATCTTTATTGAATAAAATGTTTGTGATGCTCACATTTTTTTCCAGGACATTCATGCTGGGTAATGAACATTTTATTTTTAAATTAAAATGTCGTGTGTGTGTGTGTGTGTGTGTGTGTGTGTGTGTACACGCCCGTGCCCATGGGGGTCAGGAGAGTGTGATGGATCCCTTGAAGCTCTCCAGCTTATAGACAACCATGAGCCACCTAATGTGGGTGCTGGGACCTGAACTGGTCCCCTGGAAGATCAGTAAGTGCTCCTAACTGCCTAGCCACTCCTCCAGCCCTAGCTCTTAGTTGAGTTTGGTGGCACAAGCCTATAATCTCAGGTTGAGGCAGGAGGATTAAGGGTTGTAGGCCAACCTGGGCTACATAATGAGTCTAAAAAAGAAAATTGCATAGCAAGTCTAAAAAAGAAAATTGATTCTTCTAGCATTCACTGAGGTACTGAGGGGCTTTTGATACGCTTCCTGAAATGTAAAGTACTTGATAATTTTAGCTGGAGGAGAGCAGAAATGTTCAGAAACAAATGAAGATTATGCAGAAGAAGCAAGCCCAGATCGTGAAAGAGAAAGTTCACCTGCAGAGTGAACACAGCAAGGCCATCTTGGCAAGAAGCAAACTGGAGTCTCTTTGCAGGGAACTTCAGCGTCACAATAAGACCTTAAAGGTTAGTTTTTATTTATTTTTTTCTATTTTACAGAAATAATGTTCTCAGCTGATTTTACAAGAGGTCATCTTGTATCTATTTGAAATCTGTGCCTACCCAGAGACGAGATATGAGCCTTTCTGGTTTGCTTGGGCTGATGCTTCGTATGAGACAATATAATGTGAGACTGATAGTATAACACTGTGTGTTAAGTGTGGGTTTCCTGTTCAAAAAAAAAAAGGAATTCCCTCATATTTTGGTCACAGGTAATAAGTAAACATTGCAACCCCCACTCTCTAGCTTCCTTTTTAAAAGGTTTTATTTATGTGTATGGTGTTTTGCCTGCATGTATATATGTGTACCATGTGCATGGCTAGTGCTGGAAGAGGACAAAAGAGGGTATTGGATATGCTGTAACTGAAGTAAGTTACTGATAGTTATTAGCCACTATCTGCTGGGTGCTGGGAACTGAATGAACATGGTTCTCTGCAAAAGCAGCAGTGCTCTTAACCGCTGACCTATCTCTCCAGCCCACCCACCCCCCTCTTGAAGCCATGGTTTAGGAAACCCAGAGTTGCTGTAGAAAACTAAAGAAGTTGCCATGAAATGAGAAACTGGTAAATTTAGAATCAGTGTTTTGAGAAAGGAGCACTGCTGAGCACTAGGTGGATGTCAGGGCTGAACTGCCCAACATTCCGTGGCCATTCCCAGGTACTGAGTACTTTCGGCAGTTGCACGTAGATCTTGGCAGATTATACAGGAAGAGTGAGCAGATACCCAAAGATGACTTGGTATGCATGGAGGAAGAGAGAAAAAAGAGCCATGAAAAGGATCCGCCTCTTCAACATTGTAGCTGGCCTGTCCTTACATACAACAGAGTGGGATTTTGAGCTGGAACTCTGAGCAAACACCCCATCTCTTAACTACATCCCAGGGACCAAGATACAACAGCACTTAGGACATGGATTTTTCACCAGATAGGAATTAACATTTGCTTCCTTTTAAGATTTTATTGGGGTGGGGGTGTGTGCACACACACGCTCACAGTGAGAACCTGAATCTCTTGGAGTTATAGGTGGTTGTGAGCCACCTGATATGGATGCTGGGGACTGGACTTGTGTTCTGTATGAGAGCAGTAAGTGCTCTTAACCCCTGAGCCATCTCTTCAGTCTTACTTTTGATCTTTTGTATTTATTTTACTTAAAAAAAAGATTTATTTATGTGTATGAGATTTTTGCCTGTATGTATACCTGTGTACCAGTAGATAGCTGGTGGCTACGATCAGAAGCAGGCATCAGAAATGGGAATTACCCTGAACTGAAAGTTATGGATGGGTGCTGGGAATCAAACCAAGGTCCTCTTAATCACTGAGCTATCTCTCCAGCCCTGAACCTTTAAATAAGATACCTCTTAATGAGATACCTGGGCTAACAGTGTACGCCTGTAATCATAGCTACTTAGAAGACTGAGGCCAGAAGTAATGCAAATTTAAGACCTGCTAGGCTACAGAACAAGTTCAAGGGCATCCTGGGCAACTTAATGAGATCTTGTTTCAAAATGAAAAATAAAAATTGGACTGGGGATATAGCCTACTCACTTGCCGAGTATGCTCAAAGCCCTTGTTTCAATCCTTTTAACTTACTTCCACTACCCCCAAATTAAAGGTTAGGAGACATTTTTCCCTTTAACTAGTTGTTTTGAATGTAGTAAAATTTACATTTGAAGGTAAGCTTTTTAAAATAAGTATACCATTGGCCTCTTGACCTCGTAAGAGAGTTGTGGCCTAGAAAGTAAACTGAAGGAGGGTTGTCTGCTCAGACTCATCTAAGTTGATTTCTTGTGTGGTTATCAAGAAGCCTGTTCCAGTAGACAGTCAATTGATATAACTGGGACTCTATATCTCATCACTCTGTATGTTTTTTCCTTGTTTTTTTTTTTTTTTTCAAGACTAGATTTCTTTGTATAATAGTCCTGGCTATCCTGAAACTTGCTCTGTAGACCAGGCTGGCCTTGAACTCAGAGAAAGTTTCTGATCCTAAGTAAGGAGGACAAATTGTACTTTAGAAGCAGCTTTTCTTCCTCTCCACATGCTAGGCAAATACTTTTTTACCAGGCTGCATTTCTAACCTTTTTTATTTTTGGTGTGTGTGTCCATTTGTGTGTTGCGGGTAGTAGAGTTAAGTTTGCATGTGGAATCCCTCCAGAGCTAGGATTACAGGCACAGGCTGCCATGCCCTTCTTTTTATGTGGGTGCTGGAGGTTTGGACTCAGTTCCTAGGCTTGGACAGCAGGTACTTTACCAACTGAACTATTTCCCCTACCCTCTCGTTTGAGACAGGTTCTCACAATAAGTTGCCCAAATTGTTCTTTAATTCACTCTTTAAGCCCAGGCAGGCTTTGAACTTTTCAGCCTTGAGTAGCTGAGGTCAGGGCCTGGCAAGAGCAGCTTCTTTGAGCATTTTGCTCATGGGTGTACTATTAACAAAAATTCCTTTGGGTATTAGGAGGAAAATATGCAGCAGGCAAGAGAGGAAGAAGAGCGACGTAAAGAAGCAACAGCACATTTCCAGATTACTCTAAATGAAATACAAGCCCAGCTGGAACAGCATGACATACATAATGCCAAACTCCGACAGGAGAACATTGAACTGGGAGAGAAGCTGAAGAAGCTCATTGAGCAGTATGCATTGAGGGAAGAGGTAATACCATTCAATTGCTTTCCACAGCTTCTCCCTATTAGTAGTAACTTCTGTTTACTTTAAAAGTATTGTTACAGGATGTTTTAGAATTCTTTGTGTATAGTATAAGGTGGGTTTATTGACTAGGGAAAGGATCAAACCATTGCATAACCAGAAAGATTAAATAAGAGTCTATCTGCATGAATAGGCAAGATAATTTCCAGTTTTGTTAAATACTAGTTCCATGAAGTACTAGAAGATGGCAATTTTCACAATATTTTCTTATCTGGACTAATAATGAATGCCCCGGAATACCCTGCATCTCAAGACATTTGTGATAATCTATAGCCATTTCATTACATCTGTGTCTCAGGTTTATGTTTGTTTTTGATTTTTTTTCCTGTTGATATTGGGTTTTGCTTATTGCCCTGGGTGGCTTCCAATTCATGGGCTTAAATATATTTTCCTGTTTGAACAGCCCAGCCCAGCCTTTACATTTAAAAAAGTATTCTTTTTTTTTTTAAAATGGGGTTTCTCTGTGTAACAGCCCTATCTGTTCTTGAACTAGCTCTGTAAACCAGGCTGGCCTCAAACTCAGAGATCTACCTGCTTCTGCCTCCTGAGCGATGGAATTAAAGGCATGTGCCAACATTGCCTAGCAACAACTAATTTTTTAGGTTTTTGCACTGCTGGTGGTCAAATCCAAGGCCTTAGCCATACTATATGAAACCATACTATATGAACTTTCTGTTCCTAACGTAGCAACGTAGCTACCCTCAACCCTCCTGCCTCTGCCTCCGGAGTGCTGGGATTAAAGGCGTGCACCACCACTGCCTGGCCCTATTTTTTATTTATCTTTTAGTGTTGTGATCAATCCCATGAACCTTATGTATGCTAAGTATGCTTCATCATTGAACTTCTATCCCGGACCTCTGTCTTTTCTGTTTTTGTTGTTTATTTTAGGTATGGTCTTTTTCTGTGGCCCAGGCTAACTTGAAACTCCCTATATTCCTGCCTGGCCTGGAACTCATGGCACATGTCTTTGCTTTCTGATTGCTAAGATTACAGGTGTCCTGTTGTTTTTTTTTTTTTTTTCAGACAGTGTCTCACTATGGTCTTAAATAGGTTTTGAGTTTTCAACAGTCTATTTTTAATTTTTCATGTTTGTCTTTGTCTGGATGTGGGTTTGTGCACATGAGTGCAGTGGCCAGAGGCCAGAAGAGGACTGGATCCCTTGGAACTGAAATTATAGGTGACAGTGAGCTGCCCAAGGTGGGTGCTGGTAACCAAAATCGGAGCAGCACTTGTATTTGCTGAGTCATGTTCCTACTTCCTATGGCTTGAACTCATTAAAAATTTGTAAAAATTATTTTATGTGTATGGGTGTTCTGTTTGCACATGTATCTGTGCACATAAGGAGGCTAGAAGGTGTCAGATCCCCTGAAACTGGAGTTATAGTTGGTTGTAAGCATCCATGTGAGTGCTGGGATTCAAACTCAAATTCTCTGGAAGAACAGCCTTAAAATTCTTAAATTCATAGATATTTCAGTATATAACTCAGAAAGCTCTTTTTGGCCATATAATTTTCACATCTAAAAAGTGAAGTTAGCATCTGCTTGTCTTTTTAAAATTTATATGTGTGTGGGTGCCCCAAGAGGTCATAAGAGTGTATTGGATTCCCTGGAGTTGGGACTACAGGCATTTGTGAGCTGCCCATCATATGTACTGGAAAACAAACTTTGGTCCTCTGCAAGAGCAACAGCAAGAAGAGCAGCAAGAACGCTTAAGCATTTCTACTTTCCTGTCATTAAAAAATCTGAATTAAAATCCAAATAAAGTTTGTCTACTTCACTAGATTATGTCTCATCTCCAAAATACAGATTTCCTTGGTCTGTTTTTATTACTGAAGAGCTTATTAAATAAAGTTTTGTGGGTTTGTTGTCATTCAGGCTAAGATTTACTATTAATTTATTAAAGCCCTAATTTTCTTTTTGGTTTCCTCTGTAATCCTGGCTGTCCTGGAGCTTGCTATGTAGACCAGGCTGACCTCAAATTCACAAAGATCCTCCCACTGGGATTAAAGAAGTGTGCCTCCAGGCCAAATCCTAATTTTCTTACAATGATTTTTTTTTATTTTATTATTTAATGGACTGTTTCTTCATTAGAGAATCATGTGTTTGTTCAAATTCATAAATGAAAATATAATCTGCCATTTTAATACCTAGGCTATCTTATCACCAACTAGTATTCTTCCTGTCACATATCATACTATAACTGGAAGAATCCCAATTCTGCAGTTCCAAGGTGGCATGTTTTGATGTCTGGTAAGGCACCAAACACCTTCTTTTGTTTGACTCAGCAAACAGATTCTGGCACTGAGATTTAGCAGGATAGAAACTTACCTAATTGATAAATTTGCCTTCGTTTGGCTTTGACTTATGCTGCCTTCAATTGAGGAATTTAGCAAAATTTAATGGGTAGGGGAAAAAGGAATGGGCATAAAAGGTGTGTGTATGTGTGTGTCTTGATGTTTACTTTCTCAGTACACAGCAGAAGCAAGAATTTCAAAGCTTGTGGTGGTGCCTAGCTCCAACAGCGCAATGTTCTTGCAGGTGGTGTCAAACATTGTTACAAGTATAGGGATGGAAGACCTAGATTATTAGCTATGTGGGTTTTACAGAAAAGCAGGGCAAGCAGTGTTTTAACATCTTATATTTCCTCCCCATTGTGTTCCTCCCTTCATGAAGTGATGAAAGGAATTCTTTTTTCATAGCACATTGATAAAGTATTCAAACACAAGGAATTGCAACAACAGCTTGTGGATGCCAAACTTCAGCAAACGACACAGCTGATAAAAGAAGCTGATGAAAAACATCAAAGAGAAAGAGAGTTTGTAAGTTCTGTTCCTTAAGAAAAAAAAGAAAAAGGTATTGCCAGTATTTTAACTAAAACATTTAATGTCACCCAAGAGGTATGATAGTTAATTATTAGTTCTAGAAAGCTTTTTGGCTACTTCTGTTCAGAGATCCACTTGCCTGTCTCCCGAGTGTCTCCCACTGCCAGGTGGTGGCGGCGCACGCCTTTAATCCCAGCACTCAGAAGACAGAGGCTGGGTAGATCTCTGGGAGTTCGAGGCCAGCCTGGTCTACAGAGCTAGTTCTAGGACAGCAGAGCTACCCAGAGAAACCCCGTCTTAAAAAGCAAAAAAAAAAAAAGTAAAATAGAAGAGTAAAGATAGGTACCACCATACCTTGCCCTAGTTTTGTTTTTGAACAAATTGACACTATGATCGATGTAACTATTTTGTGAGTTTATTGAGTTGGGGCCTTGGCAGAAGATGAACTTGAACTCATGAACCACCACACCCAATTTATGATTTGCTAAGGACTGAACCCCAGGGCTTGTGGATATACGGCAAGCGCTCTATCAACCGAAGCGTCATCCTTCACCAGTTTTTTCTTGTTGCTTTTTTATGCTTAGAATCCTGTTATCTAATTTCTTTTTTCCATAGCCTTCTACCCAGTCTTATCTTGCTCCTCAGGTAGCTCAGCCATTTGAGGTACTTAGCAGTGTTTTCTGCTAATATTAGACATGTGATTATTTTTACCTAAAATACTACCCTTAAACCTGAATTTTGTAAATTGTTTTAGGCCTCCACAGTACCTTTACCTTTTTCTAATTAAGAAGTACAAGATGCCTTTCTGCTTCTGTAAGCATTGCTAAGAAGCATAATAGTGGAAGGTGAATGTAGACGGCAACTGAAAGAAGGTATTCCATTTTTAGGGTGGTCATTCTTGCTAAAACAGTGAACAAAAGGGTGCGGTAGAATTGGATCATTATTCGATATTATATTCACAGTTGTAATTGCTATTAGTACTTTTGCAAGAATGTTTCTGTTTTCTAGTTACTAAAAGAAGCAACAGAATCCAGGCACAAATATGAACAAATGAAACAGCAAGAAGTACAACTAAAACAGCAGGTAACTTGATAGTTCGGGATAGCGAATTTTAAGAAAAATCGTTCATTTACTAAGTACCTTCAATCTTCTCTAAGGTGGTGTTGCTTGTTCCCAGAAAAGGAAGCAATCACACATCTTTTGGAAGTCTCTTTTCATTTAGGGTGACCTTCCAAATATGAGTGCCCCTGGTTTAAAGTACTAAAAGACTTATGTCTTAGTAGGCTCCCATTCCCAAATCTCAGCCCAGCTGGGATAAAATTAGTTATCCATCTTTCATGGCTTTCATTTGTGTTACCTCATTTCTCACTAAAGGAAACTGACAAACTTCCAGATCCAAAGAATGTTATAAAATTTCACATACCTTAACATATTTGTAATTTTGTGCCAATTTAGCACCTAAATGGTTTTAAAACTACTTGTAACCATAGTTTCACTTGTAGGTAGTTTTGTGAAATGCTTTTAGCCAAGGCTTTCTCTCCTTTTCACTCCAGATTCTGTAGTTGTTACAATGTTTGGGATAATAGTGTGTACTATTCATCTCTTTTCTTGAGGAGATGGTCCAAGAGAGACTTCTGTCTTAATAGCTGAAATTAGGTGTTTGTAATTATAATCTACCCCCTTTTAGCTAAATATTATTGAAATAATTATCAAGTTTAGTGCAAGGCTCTTTATAAGTAATACTCTAGATACATTAAGCCTGGCTTCAGTCTTTTTTGGTTTTTCGAGACAGGGTTTCTCTGTGTAACAGCCCTGGCCATCCTGGAACTAGCTCTGTAGACCAGGCTGGCCTTGAACTCACAGAGATCCACCTGTCTCTGCTGGGATTAAAGGTTTGAGCCACGACCCCTGGGCGGCATCAATCTTTATAATCACCTCTTCTGGATACTATTTTTTTTTTAAGATTTATTTATTTATTATGTATACAGTGTCCTGTCTACATGTATGCCTGAAGGCCAGAAGAGGGCACCAGATCTCATTACAGATGGCTGTGAGCCACCATGTGGTTGCTGGGAATTGAACTCAGGACCTTTGGAAGAGCAGGCAATGCTCTTAACCTATGAGCCATCTCTCCAGCCCCAGTTACTATTTTTTCAGTCGGGTAGGACATTTTACACTATTGGTGAGATAAACTTCTTACAAAGCAATTCTAACTTTTTTCAGACAGGGTTTCTCTGTGTAACAGCTCTGGCTGTCATGGAATCTGCTCTGTATACCAGGCTGGTCTCAAATTTAGAGATCTGCCTGCCTCTCAAATACTGGGATTAAAGGCATGCATCACCACAACCTCACAAAGCTAGCCTAATTTAAGAGTACAAATTTTAATATTTTTCACCATAAGTTATGATCATGCCAGAAGACTGGTAGGAAATTCAAATCCCATTACTGCTCGGGCCTATACATTCCGTTGTACGAATGGAGATGAGTGTCAATGTGGATGGAGTATAAAGTCTATGTTTCTGCAGCTGTTGATAAACTGACCTGTGCCATCTGTTTCCTTTGCTGTCACTATCCTTTTCAAGAGTTGATCTCATTTGCTGCTTTTACTGTGGTATTTCATAGTAGTTGCCTTGGCCCACTGTTTTGTGATTAGCCATGTAAGTCCAAGTGTAATGATAGTTACTGTCTATTCACTACTGTGGGCCAACATTGAACTCTCTAAAGAGACAGCCATGGTATAGGTGCGGTGGTTGCGCATACCTTTAATCCCAGCACTTGGGAGTACAAGGCCAGCCTGGTCTACAGAGCTAATTTCAGGACAGCTAGGGCTGTTACACAGAGAAATCCTGGGTCAAAGAGAGAGACAGACAGACTTCCTTTGGATGTCCCATCATCAAAACAGGCTTCACTGAAACTACTGGAGAGTCTAATTCCGAGTGCATTAAGAGCTCTTGACTCAACTTGAGCACCACTGTTGTCCCTGACTTCAGGCTGTCAGCCTCGGATGTTAGAGTGGAACACACCTCCACTAGCTTTTGCTCAATCCTCACCATTCTATTGCAGTTCCTATTCTTTTCCTACACTTTTATGCAGATACTCCTTGTTGCCTGTCTCCTAGTGATCACTTCTAGCCTGATGAACTTGTCTGCTGCTGCTTCCCCCACAGCAGCACCTGCTCCAAGTGCTTCCCATATGGCACACCCACCTATAACTGTGGGCAGGCTGCCTTCCATCATATCCCATCTCATCTTTCCACATTTTGTTAGATGTTATCTATAATATTCCTCTCATCACTGGTTACATGGTCTTCTGGTGTGTAAGATTAAGAATCTTATGTGCATGAATGCTTTGCCTGTGTGTGTGTGTGTGTGTGTGTGTATGTATGTAATATATGTATATGCCTGGTGCAGAGTCAGAAGAGGGAATTACAAATAGTTGTGAACCTCCATGCAGGCACTGGGAACCAAAGCCCATGTCCTCTGCAAGAACACCAAGCACTCTTTCCATCCTGCCCCTTTACTTCTGTGTATTTTGTGATCTCAGGAGAGGGAAAAGAATCTCTTCCTCTGGACTTGTTTCCTTGTAATAACATTAGACTATCTCTGAACGGTTCCCTCCTGGATCTTAAAGCTTTTCCTTTCTTTTGACACGATGTCCTTTCTTCTCTGGAGGTTTTCTCTAAAGGAGAATAAAGGGTGGGCTAGCTTATGTTTGATATATGTGTGTGCGTGCATGTTTGATACATATACATCAAATTCCTTGAACTTAAAAGAAAAAAATGGTCCTTCTTACTTTTTATTCTTTCCTTAATCATCTCACTATCCCCAACCACCATTCTGCCTGCGCTCAGGAGATATTCTTGATACTAGGCAGAAACATGATCTTTTAATTTTCACAGGTTGGGGCATAGCTCAAAGCTTTGCAGGGGGCATGAAATTTCTGATTGCCACACCCAATGCATTTTAATTAATGGGGTTATAATTAATGCTAATATTCCTGCATTTTAAATATGTTAACAGCAATAACCTCCCAAGTACTAGATCTCTGTGAGTTATTAGAATTTCAGGCATCTGACTGCTATCCAGAGATTGGGTGTTTGCTGTTGTCATTTATAACAAATACCATCATGTAGTTAAGTTTATGAGTTTGAATTGTTTACCTAGAACTCAGAATAACCAACTTTTTATTTTGTTCTGTAGCTTTCTCTTTATATGGATAAATTTGAAGAATTCCAGACTACTATGGCAAAAAGCAATGAACTTTTTACAACCTTCAGGCAGGAAATGGAAAAGGTATTTGTATGTTTTTTAGTAGACTGAAATATAAAAGGGATATTTTGAGCTCTTTATTACTACTTAGAGTGAGTTTATATTGTTATGATACTGTCTTTTATATCTTTCCAAATAGAGGGCTATATTTAGTCACTTTTTTCTTTAGTGTGCCCCCAAGTATAGCTTATATTTATACTTTTAAGATTTTTCCTTACTTGCAGTAAATTCCTTTTTTGTTGTTTTGTAATAGCCTAGCTCTCCTGGAATTTGCCCCATAGACCAGGATGGCCCTTGAGAGCTGCCTGCCTCTGCTTCCCAAGGGCTGGAATTAAAGACTTGCACCACCAATTCTCAGCTAATTTCATTATTAGAAATAGGCCTTTTCAGTCACATAACAGGCTTACTTCTATTCATTTCAAAAAAAATTCCGGGGATGGTGGCGCACGCCTTTAATCCCAGCACTCGGGAGGCAGAAGCAGGCGGATCTCTGTGAGTTCGAGACCAGCCTGGTCTACAGAGCTAGCTCCAGGACAGGCTCCAAAGCCACAGAGAAACCCTGTCTCGAAAACAAAAACAAAACAAAACAAAAAATTCCTTTTCTTGGCTACATTAAAAGTAGACCAGACTGGCATAATTTGACATGACCTTGAATATTTAATGCTCTATAAGCTTAGCCCACCACACCCCATGTTTTATGTTTTAGGAGTTTCACTATGATTTCCAGGTTGGTTTTAACCTCTAAAACTCAAGCAGCTCTCTTGCTTCAATCCTCAGCCTCTCAGCCCAGGTAACTGCCGCTATAGGTACATATCACATCAGACTATAATAGAGAGTTTTTAAAAGTAGTGTTCAAGGGGCTGGAGAGATGGCTCAGAGGGTAAGGGCACTACCCTTCCAGAGGTCCCGAGTTCGATTCCCAGCAACCACATGGTGGCTCACAACCATCTGTAATGAGACCTGGTGCCTTCCTTGCCAGCAGTACATTGTATGCTTAATAAATAAACCTTTAAAAAAAAAAAAGTAGTGTTCAAAAGTACAGTGTAAGCCATGACTATTATTCCACTGAATTACGAGTGTTGGTTGATGTTCCAAAGCACCCATGTTGGGTGGTTCACAACCATCTGTAACTCCAAGTGATCTCATGCTATCCCTGTTCTACTGTCTGGGCATTTTGCTCATGTGCATATATCCCCCAGACACATGAATACACACATGGCTCCGTGGTTAATAGTGCCCGTCATTCCTTCCTCTAGAGGGCTCAGTTCAGTTTCAGCACCCAAGTCAAGTCAATCATAAATTACCAATAACTCCAGCTCCTGGAAATCCAATGCCCTCTTCTGGTCTGCATGGGCACCCACAGCCATGTGCACATAGATATACACATAAATAAAATATAAATCTTTAAAAATCATGATTGTAAACAAGTTGTTCTGACTGTGTGTCCCCCGTTTACTCTGTGTGTATACATGCATGTGCAATGGCACATGTGTGAGGGTCAGATGACTAATTCTGTGAGTAGGGTCTCTCCTTACACCTTGTAGGGTCCAGGGATCAAACAGGTCCATCAGGCTTGGTGGCAAACACCTTCTTACTTTTTTTTTTTTTTTTTTTTTTTTTGAGACAGGGTTTCTCTGTGGTTTTTGGAGCCTGTCCTGGAACTAGCTCTTGTAGACCAGGCTGGTCTCGAACTCACCGAAATCCACCTGCCTCTGCCTCCCGAGTGCTGGGATTAAAGGTGTGCACCACCACCGCCCGGCCTTACTGGCCCTTTAAAGGAAATAAAAAGACCCACCAAATTCAGATAGTGTTTGGCTCACTAAACATGTGCTCAATTATCAGGAGCTAAATAGTACCACCTTCAAGTATTTTAGACCAAGTAATCTAGAGACTTCCATGAGCAGGTGATTTGTTCTGCCTACCAGTCTTTTGAGTTGATAATCCGATCGAGGGGTAACTTTTAGGCACAGTAAGTATTAGCTGAATTCCAGCACATGCTCACTGTTGAAGTGGAACACAGTTCAAGACAGGGATTCCCCAAATTTGCTATCCTTGTGGAAGATCCTGTGGGATGGAAAAATACAGATCACTACTCAGTTCTTCCATGAGCTCTTTCCACCGCCTTTGTCCTAATTTGTGTTAGCTACCAATAAAAAGCATCTGGTCTGCCTTGTTCTGCTTCCCTTAATAGCACCTGGGGCTCAGTGTCCTGACTTGAAAATCTCAGCTGGAATACTGAGAATGTGACCAATTGATAAGCATAGATAAATCTCATTCTCAACTTTTCTTGTAGCAGAGGTTTAAGAATTTCCCTTTGCCTTTAGTCCTAACAATCCAGAGGCATAGGCAATCAGAGGCCAGCCAAGTCAATGCTACACACACACACCCCACACCCCCCCACCAAAAATGTTCCTATGATTCTTTTGGGTCTACTTTATTATCTTTAGCAAAATTCAAGGTAGATAATTAAATTCCACCGCTTCTAATTCACAAATGATTGACGCTTATCAACAGCTCAGTGAGGCAAATGCAGAGAAGGAAGCAACGTTAAAGCTTTTTTGATGGAACAGCTGGTAGGATTAGAAATGGAATTAAATTAAGCCCTGGAGAGATGGCTCAGTTAAGCTTACTTGTTCTTGCAGAGTATGCGAGTTCAGTTCCCAGCATCCACATGGTGGCTCACAACCATCCATAACTCCAGTTCTAGGAGATCTGATGCCTTCTTTTCACCTCCTGAGAGCACCAGGCACATGTTGTGCAAACATACATACAGTCTAAACATTCACATATATGAGGAAAATTTAACTGGTAATTTAGAATTTTAAAGTTGAATTATGTTCATTCACAGATGACAAAGAAAATTAAAAAACTGGAAAAAGAGACAATGGTATGGCGCACCAAATGGGAAAACAATAATAAAGCACTTCTCCAGATGGCTGAAGAGGTAAGATGACTCCCTGAGATTAGGATGTGTCATTAGTTATGCGCAGGGTACGATAATTACTGAGTAGACTGATGCTTTTCCTCGTAGTTGGATAGTGGTAGAGTCCTGAATGAAGGATCAAACATTTTATTTACTGCCCAGTTAATACAAGCATCCTCTGAGACAATGTTTTCCCAAACTAGAATTCATAATAATTCTTGCTATAAAATGCCAGGATTACTAGGTCCCAGCCAAAGGTGCTGACTGTCTAAGTTAGGTCAAGCACTTGCAAGAATGGCTAAAAGATGACTGGGCTTGGCAGTGCACACCTTACCAGCACTCAGGAGTCAGAGACAGGAGGATTTCTATGAGTTTGAGGCCAGTCAAAGCTACATGGTGAGACCTTATCTTGAGAGACTAAAACAAAATCAACTGAGAGGGTGCTGATGCATTGTCCAGGCCTAGGGAAGCTCATTCGTTGGACTTCCTAGTATGACTACCAGCAAACACCCCGAATGCCTTTCTATCTGAAAAAAAAAAAAAAATACTTTTTGGCCATGTTCCAAGTGAAAATGTATTGCTTGCAGTCACTACACATCTTCATAAATTTGACAGGACTGCACAATGTTAGAGCACATGTGTATAAGAATCTTATTCTGCCAGGCAGTGATGACACCTGCCTTTAATCTCAACACTTGGGAGGCAGGTACATCAAAGCCAGCCTGGTCTACAGAGTCAGTTTTAGGACAGCCAGAGCTAAAGAGAAATTGTGTGTGAAAAACAAACAAATTATTGTTCTAAGTAATCTTAGTTTTGCAAGTCTTTGACAACTACCTTCAATTTCTTTAAAGTTAATGTGAAATTTCAAGTTAAGGGGATTTCATCTGCTTTTAAGAAACAAAATTTAAAGCCATTATTAAATAGCACAGACAATCAAGGCATGAAAACTTAAGAGTATTAGGTTTCTAAAGTAGACATATATAATAAATACCAGGTAGTTACCAATGTGGTTCAGTGCAGTTATTTTTGTTTAAAAACAACACCTAATTTATATTTAATGAGGTTATGGAACTGTCGACTGGTTTTGTTTTTCATTTGACAAAAAAAAAAAAACCAACAGAAAACTGTCCGTGATAAAGAGTACAAGGCCTTTCAAATAAAACTGGAACGGTTAGAGAAGCTGTGCAGGGCTCTTCAGACAGAGAGAAATGAGCTCAACGAGAAGGTCGAAGTCCTGAAAGAGCAGGTCTCTATCAAAGCAGCAGATGGGGACTTGGTGGCACCTGCGATGCAGCCCTGTGCTGCCCTGGATTCATCCAAGGAGATGAACACTTCAAGAAGAGCCCTGGGAATGCACTTGGAGGCTAGGGCCAAAGCCAAGTCAGTGAGTGAGAGAAGAAGTGCTGCACAAAAGCCCTCATCTTCAGGTTCTGCGCAAGGCATTGAGTCAGTTGACTAGGGTGAAATATGATCGCTGTATTGAGAGATATATTTTGTGTATAACTTCCTCTGTTAGTAGTAACTATTGGTTTTGTGGTGAAAATTTTCTTACTTTTTCTACCATATCTGTATTTTCTTAGAACTACTGGACTTATGTGGTACAGGAGGCTGCTTAGCAGTTTGAAATAGTTTTAATCTATAAATTTCCTTCATCTATGTTGCACATCTGCCTCATTTTCCCCTTTGTTGGAGTGCATGTCTTCATTGATTTGTCCTCTCTCTTTCTGCTCCTTGCACCTAATTTTCCCAACTAAAATCATTCAAGACAAGGCCATTAAAGGAACTGTGTTCTCATGATGGTTCCTTGATGTGAAAACAATTTTAATTTAAGCATGTTGGCCCCTTAATACAAAGAAAAATACCAAGGTGATTACCTTTGCTTAATAGCCTATTTAAAGGGGGAACATGTCAGAAACAAGCTTAGCATTTTTCATTCAAATTAGCTTTTCTTGATTTACTTGACAAATTGAGATGACCACATAACCTTGAAGTTCTGACAGAACATATATAAAGATGTTACTTGTGAACAAAATAGGCAAAGTAGGCAAAGTATTGGATGAACAGACAATGTTTCTGTGACTAAAAGTAGTCATATTGTGCTAATTTGGGGATAGAATGTACCACATGTGAAATTAATTTGGACTACCTGATTACTGTAGTAGATGGTGGTTTACGTACTTGTTCTCCATTTCCCACAAAAAGCTTATTTGAAAACTGCTCTTCCTTGCTTTGTGAGTTTAGAACAAGAATAAATTCATATGAAGCTTATATTAGGCAAAAGCTTTTTTTCAGTCCCTACAAGTTCCATCAGCAAAGCACTTTGTTTCCAGAAAGAAAATTTAAATTACGAATCAGCACTAACTAAAACATTTAGTTTCCAAAGTAAAAAACACTGGAACCAGCATTTTTTTTTAATCTTGGGAAGACTTGGCAGATTGTTTACATAGTCAAAACGACCTCTAACTTATATAAGCTTTCTGGTTCATTTCTCTTTTCTTAGATGTTGTCACTTAAAACAAACCAGTATTAATGTTTCTATACTTTAAATTGGGGAATTTCAAAACTAAGCAAAACATGTCTTAGTTCTTTTTGTTTTCTCAGTGTTGAATGTGGCTCAGCCATGCAAACTACTAGGTCTTTATTATTTTGGTATAATTTGCAATGAAATGCTTTATAAAGTAATTTTTCAAAAGGTTCAAGTAACACACACCACATTCTATTCAGCAAATCTTTCAGACTGACACTTGTCGAATTGCTTACTGGACTGAATAAACTCCATTTCTCTTTGCTAAAAGTTTTATCTGTAAACTCCTGTGACATTCATGGTCTAAACTGGATTCAAAGAATTGAAAACTGTCCAAAAATAGAAAACAGTCCCGGGAATAGAGTATCTTTTTAAAACTATTCCGCATTGGTCATGTAATCAAGGGGTCAGACAGTAGAAGAAATTCATAAAGTTGATTATTACTGTCAGTTCATCAGAAACAAGAACAATCCCTTCCAATAGCCTCATAAATACTCTCCCACCTTCAGCTACTAGAAGTGCTGGATCATTTCCCATGAAGGTTTATCAGAAATTTAATCTACTTTGAAATTGTTACTATTGATCATATTTCATAAATCTGCTGGATACACAGCTTTTAGCATTTTATTAAGCTATGTATGTAGCCTGACACATTTTGTGTTACTTATCCTATGTGGAAGACTGTAAATCCTGGACCTGTTGCAAATTTGCAAGGGTTTCAAAAGCAATGTGACTAACATTCCTGGCCTGCTGCTTTTGACTTACATGCATTGTTAGCTAGATGTTTAGAGGAAAAGGATTCTGTCTGGGATGTGTCCAGAATCTTTCCTTTTCCCATTACCCTGTGAGTAAAAACAAATGGGACCCCAGAGAAGGATACCCTCCCCTAAAGTGATCACCTCACCAGCCCAGTGTTGTGGCTTTGTAGCAAGCCCTTTATCTACCATAATCTAGAACACTGTAATGCTACTAGGCTGGCCCAGAAAAGGTTTAAATGTTGAATTCACTTACTGCATTTGGTGCACTACCATGCAATCTTGATGTATATTTATAATGGCAATAGACCCCAAAATGTAGCGAAAACTTGGGTCTTGGATATCAGGCCATTTCATCCTCAGACTTGTAGAAGTACATTTCCTGGTCTTGAGACCAGTATTTTTTAGTTATGTATGCAACTGCCTTTATTACACACCTGGTTATCACAATTCAATTCTCAGGTGTTGTAGAAAAATCTACCTCTTTCAGACTGTAGATGGAAATAACTGTGAAAAAATGATGCAGATATCTTCTAGTTTGTGCTAAACACACTGCTTTATTTTTACAGCCCACGTCTTTCATGAGGATATGAATTGTTAAGAGGCAGTCTTGTTTTGCTTTTCAAATACATTTTGTAGAGATTTTTCACTAACGTGAATCTGATTTTATCTACTCGATTCTGTATAGATTAAGTAAATATGTATGATGAATTTAACAGCTTTCGTGTATTCTTTGGTTGCCCATGTGGCCTTAATTGCGTACAAATCCAAAGGAACAATTTTACCTATTTCTCCTGGAGAAAGGAGATATGTATGGGAGCGTGCACATACATCCACCCATTCCCAGCTTCTAAAAGAACAAAACAAACTTTATTTTAAAACTTTATTTCTGCAAAGCCAATCAAGAAGTGTTGAAAGGAAAAAGTGTAAAAGGTATCTTGCATATTTGGGAACTTCAGCAAGCACTTAAAAGTTTGCGAAAAACAATTGAATCAAAGGCAATAGCAATACCCAGCAACATGTATTTTAAAACAATAATGATGTCCTTTCTTAAGCAACATTCCTTTTTTTTCCCCCCTAATAGCTACAATATGATACAATACGCAAAAGCTCACTTGAAAGTGCTAGAATGAGAGGGTAAAGAACGCCATAAGCCATCCCACTTACATTTCCTACTATACAATGCCTTTTTGGCGCAATACATTCAATAGAAACACCTCATACTTTGGGTTTAAGATCCTTGTCCCTCCAGTTCCGATGTAGTGACATCTGACTCTTCATCATTGTAAATATTTTCAGCCTGGAGATAACCAAATAAATTCACAGGTAAAAACAGAATTTATATCTGTGAATATACATTTTAAAATTTCCTTTAAGTTATTTGCCAATATATAAGTTCCCTAGACATACTTAGTCCCCACACACTATTACTAATTAATCACTGTTCCGAAAAGGCATTTTCTAAAATTTTTTCAAGCATCACTTGGAGCAGTGGTTAACTCAGAAAGTCAGATATTTAGTGTTCCTCATTAGAAAACTCAGCATCTTTGAACACCTTAACATTTTCCTCCCATATTCTTCTTGTGACTGCACTGATACCAGAGACCAGAACAATCAATGTCAAGGCTCCTGCTGACAGTTCATGACAAATGTGAAGCAGATGTTGTGCATGTTTACTTACATGAATGTGTGGATAAAATGGTATTGAGCTAAACCTTACTATGTTGTTAAAATGGAAAAGGTTTAGGAATTTTAACTATTACTACTCTGTATACACATGTGAATGTGTGGCAGTAAGAAGACAACTTTGTGGAGTTGGTTCTCTCCTTCCACTTTTACTTCAGGCAATGATCTTATTATTAGGTCATATGGTTTGGGAAGGAAGCGCTTTACCCCCTGAGCCATTTTCCAGGCTCAGAAAAAGTTTCTTTAAACTGCTCCCATACTATGCCTAAACAATAAAAGATTTCTATTACATTCTGTCACCAGTGAAACAGTTTTACCAGAGTTACGAAAAAAATACTTCAACTCACCATCTGCCATATCTGCATGATGTTATCTTCAGACACTGAGCAAATGACCCAAGGTTCATTGGGGTTCCAGCTGAAATCTGAAATCTTGGCAGTGTGTCCTCCATGAATAAACTTAAAAAAAACCACGAAAGTCTTGATTTCATATCCTTTCCTATTGTAAAACTTTCAAGACTTTAAAAGTGTTTCTAGAATTAGGCTGCCCCACAATTTAGAGTTAGAGTGACATGGCCTCTGTAATCGATTCACACCCCCAATATTCTAAAAAATTCCAAACTTTTCAGAAAAAGGACCAGAATACTACAGTGAACACCTAATAGTATTTTGCTATGTTCTAGTCACACATGTGCCCACACATTCAAACAGCTCAAGCAAGTTATTCGAATCTTAAGTAGCAGGTAGGACATTTCATCCCTAAGTTCTCTGGCCTCTGCCTATAATAAAAACATTTTCCTGTAACCAAGCATTTCCAACATGTATGATCATGTACTCTTTCATGGGCCTAACCAAGGAAATTTCCTGGTTGTTCTCTAGTCCTCTTTAACAGTAGCCATTCTTCCTCTCCTTTCTTTAAAAAAAAAAAAATACTACGACTCTTAAGATCCAAACTGCAGCAATGAACTTTCCCAAGAAATACCCAAGAAGGGATCTTATTTTCTACAAGAGATTACCTCATAAGAAGGCAATGTGCCAGGTCAGGCGGTGATGGTGCACACCAGCACATGGGAGGCAGAAGCAGATAGATCTGAATTTAAGGCCAGCCTGGTCTACAGAGCAAGTTCCAGGACAGTCAGGGCTGTTACACAGAGAAACTATGTCTTGAAAAAACAAAACAAAAAAGGTCACTGTGCCCAATATACTTCATATTAGGACTTAGAGGAATTGATTCATCAGAAGAACAAAAAGTCTGACGAGTCCTCTGCCCACTAGGTTATATTCAATCTAAATAAAACTCCCTAATTTTATCTGTAAAATATCATATCAACACTTGAAACTGAGGCCTGGGCTAGAGGCCATCTACAAAAAAAAAGGGGGGGGGGATACAACTTCCCCTAAGTGAATGGTATGGTAAGCAGTTACAAATGAACAATCTCATGCCACATACTCCCTCCCCTGTCCCAAGCAGGCTCTTGCTCTGTAGGCCAGGTTCAAAGTTCTAACCCCTCCCCCCTTTGCTTTTAGTTATTGAACCACTTCTCTAGCTATCTAGCTACTAATTTATTACTCTTAAATAGTGAAAGTACTATTTGACTTCAAGTTTTCTTTGAATACAGCAAAATCTTAGTAGATTTTAAAAAGTATTTATGTGTATGTCTGACTATATACATGTGGGTGCAGTACCCATAGGAGCCAGATGTGTCAGATCCCAGATTCCTCTAGATCATTGTGAGTCACCTGGTATGTGGACTGGACTGTACTCTGGTCCTTTGTCAAGGACAGTAGGTATTCTTAACTGCCGAGCTATCTCACTCACTAACCCCCTAGTGGTTTTTCATAAGGACTATATTATAAAATTATTGCAACTATATATAAAGAGAAAACTGCCTATAGACAAATAATTTTCTGAAAATACTATAAAACCATGAAGGCTCTGCTTCACAAACAAGACTTTGGAATACGTAAGCCACAATAAAATATTTAGATGCCATCAACTGGTTCTGGTATCAGTTTATTGAGATAATTTTACTTGCTTCCCTTACCCCTCCTCAGGGTAACACACTGTCCACTGTAGCCTCAAAAGTCAAGACTTTCCTTTCCTGCTTGAGCTTCCTGGGTGGTCAGATTATTCGTTAAGCTACAATGATAATGAGTGCCGAACCTACTGGTCTATCTAAAACTCCTATCCTTTATTTGCCTGTGGCTGCTGGGCACAAACGCCAAAGGGACTAGGGAGCTTTCACAAAGTGGGAGTTAGTAAACACCTGTGTCTTGGGCTTACTCTCAAAAGATTTTCAGATACTATATTCAAGTTATCGTCACTTAAACATTTCCAGAAAACTTCTGGGGACATTTTTGATAAATGTCAGAACCTATTCACAATAACTTCCTAGACTTCCTCTTTGAAACCACTGGCAAGCTAAAACTTGAAGCTCTGACCCATTCCTGAGATAAACTAATGAGAAATATAGTATGGGGCGGAGGAGTGCTCATCACTCTCCGGCCCCTGGGAAGGTCTGAGACTGCCCCCCCCCCCCCGCGGCCCTAACTGGGCCCTCCCCGAGTGGGGAGGTGAGTTCCCAGAGAGCAGGGCTCCGCGCGCAAGCAGACTGGGCAGGAGAGAAATATAGTATGCATCTGATATTTAACCTAATACATACCAGAAGCTCTGGAGGCCCATCTTCTGCATCTTCTGCAGATTGTTCTTCTCCAATTTTACTATTAAAAGAATAAAACATTCATCATCAAAAAGTTTTCCATGAAGTTTTATCTACCCATCCATTATAAAAGTATTTCTCAGGCTGGAGGGATGGCTCAGTGGTTAAGAGCACTGGCTGCTCTTCCAGAGGTCCCAGCAACCGCATGGTGGCTCACAACCATCTGTAATGAGATCTGTTGCCCTCTTCTGGCGTGCGGGCATGCATGAAGGCAGAATGTTGTGTATACATATATATAATCTTTTTTAAAAAAGTATTTCTCTATGAGAATTACTTAGGACAGTGGTTCT